CGAATTAAATGCTCTTGTCTGCACAGAAAAAATAGATATTATTGCACTTACCGAAACGTGGATGAATGTAGAAAATTGAGAACTATTAGCTGAATATCAAATATATGGATTTAAACTATTTCACACAGATAGATATATTAGACGAGGAGGTGGAGTAGCCATATATGTTAGGGACAATTTGAAATGTAGTCTCAAAGAGGGAATCAAAACAGAGCCACACACAGAAACTATTTGGATTGAATTAAACGAAAAAGCTAATAATATTATAATAGGAGTAATATATAGGCCACCAAATTTAGACAGAATGGAAGCAAAGCATCTATGGGATGAAATATCTAGAGCATCTAGATCTAACAGTATTTATGTCATGGGTGACTTTAATTTTAGCGGAATAAACTGGTTGAACAAAACAGGGAATAGTGAAGCAGAAGATTTTCTAGAATTAATTGACGATTGCTTTCTTACGCAACACATTAAGGAACCAACACGGGAAAATAATATTTTAGATTTAGTGTTAACTAACAGGGAAACGCAAATTAATGACATCGAAATAGGGAGTGAGCTAGGGAGCAGTGATCACAAAGAAATCAGATTTAGCATAGAATGGAATAGACCAGTAGGAGAAAATTCTGTTAAAGTGCCAGATTTTCGAAAAGCTGATTTTAATAGCCTAAGAAATTTTTTGGGTCAAATTGATTGGAAAGGCTTGGGTATGGGGTGTGGGCCGGTCTTGGAGCGAGACATGAACCCAGCGATAGGTGACTTAAATGGGGATTTCGATGTGGATTCAATATATAACTTATTTAAGAATATTCTAAACAAAGCACAGGAACGTAGTATACCATACAAATTGAATAGATCGTATACTAATGACCCAAAGTGGATAACAAAGAATTTGAAGAACCTTATAGGTAAAAAGAGAGCTTGGTACAAAAGGATTAAAAATGGGGAGGTCACTTTAGAACAGGAATTCGTACAACTGGTTAGAAATGTTAAAAAAGAGATAAGGAAAGCAAAAAGAAACTATGAAGTTCGCATAGCAGGGCAAGCAAAGACAAATCCTAAAGGGTTTTTTCAGTTATATCGTACTAAGACTAGGGAAAGGATAGGTCCATTAAAAACTGAGACAGGTCAAATAACAGATAGTGATGAAGAGATGAGTAGTATTTTTAATAAATATTTTGTATCTGTATTTACTAAAGAGGAACTTAACAATATGCCTTCAGCCGAACAAGTCTATGTGGGTGGGGACGAGGACAGGTTGACGAGTTTAGCAGTTACCAGGGAGGATGTTCTTAAACAAATAGTAAAACTCAAACCAAACAAATCCCCAGGGCCGGATGAAGTGTTTGCTAGGGTGCTTAAAGAATGCAAAGAGGAGCTTTGTGACCCACTGTCAACCATATTTAATAAATCAATAGAGTCAGGCAGAGTGCCAGAGTTTTGGAAAGTTGCTAATGTGATACCAGTTTTTAAGAAAGGAGATAGATCACTTGCGTCTAACTATCGACCAATTAGCCTAACGTCTATTGTGGGAAAGTTACTCGAATCTATAATAGCAAATAAAATTCGTCTTCATCTTGAAAAACATAAATTAATAATTGAGTCGCAACATGGTTTTATAAATGGCCGTTCATGTTTAACAAATTTGTTATCTTTTTATTCTAGCATTGTTGAGGCAGTTGATAGTGGTAAGGATTGCGATGTTGTATACCTTGACTTTAGCAAAGCTTTTGATACAGTGCCACATGAAAGACTGATTAAAAAAATAGTCTCATGGTATTGGGGGTGCTATATTAAGCTGGATTAGGGCATGGCTATACCAAAGGAAACAGAGAGTTAGTATAAATGGAATCAAGTCAGAGTGGGAAAATGTTGTAAGTGGAGTGCCTCAAGGCTCTGTCCTGGGACCTCTGTTGTTTATAATATATATAAATGATTTAGATTCAGGTTTGAGTAGCAACATTTGCAAATTTGCCGATGATACGAAAATCGGTAGGGAAATTAATTCGGAGGAGGACTCACTATCACTTCAAGTTGATCTAGATAGGGTTTTGAAATGGTCAAAGGATTGGCAGATGCAGTTTAATGCTGATAAATGTAAAGTTCTGAGGTTAGGTAATGATGATAGAGTTACAAGATACGAGCTAGATGGTGTTGTGATTGCGAAGTCGGATTGCGAAAGGGATCTGGGAGTTATGATTAGTAAGAATTTAAAACAAAAGGATCAATGCATAAATGTTCGTAATAAGGCAAACCGGACACTTGGATTTATTAATCGCAGCGTTAGTAACAAGACACCTGGTGTGGTTCTCAAGCTATATCTTGCTCTAGTTAGGCCCCATTTAGATTATGCAGTTCAGTTTTGGTCGCCATATTATAGAATGGATATAAATTCACTTGAACGTGTCCAGCGTAGGATGACTAAGTTAATTCCCCAAATTAGAAATCTTTCATATGAAGAAAGATTAACAAAGCTTAAGTTGCATTCACTGGAAAGGCGAAGAGTTAGGGGTGACATGATAGAGGTTTACAAGTGGATGAATGGACATAACCGGGGGGATATTAATAGGGTATTAAAAGTATCAACACAGGACAGAACACGAAACAATGGATATAAATTGGATAAGTTTAGATTTAGGAAAGACTTGGGTAAATACTGGTTCAGTAACAGGGTTGTTGATTTGTGGAACCAATTGCCGCGTAACATTGTGGAGGTGGGGTCCCTCGATTGTTTCAAGCACGGGTTGGACAAGTATATGAGTGGGATTGGGTGGTTATAGAATAGGAGCTGCCTCGTATGGGCCAATAGGCCTTCTGCAGTTACCTTTGTTCTTATGTTCTTATGTTCTTATGTTCGTGCTGTTTGTCCACATCTGGTCCCAATTTGTGGGCCTTTCGAGTCACTTCTTGGAGCCTGTGGTGACGTTGGGTGGCCCCTCCTTCATCAGGGGGGGGGGGGAGGGGGCTGGCAGGGCAGGTCTCTCCTGTGCCTGATCAAGTCATACTTGGAGTGGGTTTGCTTGGGCGTGGTCAAGACGACTTCGTCTTTCAGGTGGGTTTCTCGCCTGTTTCCGGTTGCAAAACGGGACTGTGCGGACCTGCGGTTCATTCTGGACTTGTCCCATCTGAACTCTTGGGTCTATTGCCCCCCTCCTTTCGGATGACTACTGTCCCAGGTCTGTCTTGTTTTGGAGCTAGGTGCTTGGATGGTGTCCCTGGACCTTCGAGATGTGCTGGTGAGAGGCCTCACTGATTGAAGGTCCTTGGCGTGCTGGTGAGAGGCCTCACTGATTGAAGGTCCTTGGTGTGCTTGAGTCCTCCCTAGTTGAAGGTCCTTGGCTCCCTGTTCTTACCAAATAACGTAATAAGAATCGAGTTTAGTTTGCCTAATGTATTCATTAGCCCCCTCTTATGAACAGCTCTTTGGTTTGCCTCAGGTCCTGAAATCACACGCCTCGAGCCACAGCTGTCTGGTATTAATACAGTATGACCCGATGCCTGAATTCTTTATGGAAAAACCTCCAGTTATCTTGAGGTTATCTTGAGATGATTTCGGGGCTTTCAGTGTCCCCGCAGCCCGGTCCTCGACCAGGCCTCCACCCCTAGGAAGCAGCCCGTGACAGCTGACTAACACCCAGGTATCTATTTTACTGCTATGTAACAGGGGCATTGGGTGAAAGAAACTCTGCCCATTGTTTCTCGCCGGCGCCTGGGATCGAACCCAGGATCACAAGTCCAGCGTGCTGTCCACTCGGCCGACCGGCTCCCAATCGGTTGTCCAGATTTCAGTCCGGATATAGACTAGTTGGTAGAAAGTTACCCAAATTTGATTTAAGCTCTCTGCTTGTATACTTGCATCGGGACAAACCTCCGATCATCCGGATTCTATGGACATTCATCCGGGTAAAGACATAAAACTATCTGGATGCGATGATGTCCGGATGACCCCGTTATCCGGTTATCGGAATCCAGATAATCGAGCTCATGTGGTATGCCACTCTTTCGGCTTTCTTTGTAGTATGTCTTGGGACGATATTCGGGCACCCACGGTTTTGGAAGTCGAACATGGTCCTGGCCGCCAGATATCTAGTAAATGTCCAAGTTCCTCTGTAGCCTTGTGTGACCTTTGGATGCCTGTCGTGGCTGTCTGTCTCTACCTCGCTTTGAGACATGGAGTGCTGCTGCCTTCCTGGTATGTCTCTCTTTGACTTTTCTGTGGGTAGTTAGCTTCAGGGAGGGCTTTAAGGGCTCCCCAACAGAAAACCAGCATTGAATGTAATGAAACGCCAGTTTCTGGGTGAGCCCCAGAGGCTCCCTGACACCCTCTATCTCTTTGGTTGGCGGCTCTCATCATTCCAGAACTGCTGGGTTGCAGGCTCACCCAGGTAGGCTCAAAATTGAGGGGATTAGTTGGATGAAGTGTTGCTTTTTTTATAGGGTGAGTTCTTTTTCTATTTTGAGGACATGGCTCGCAATTTTCAACCAGATATTGGTCTGTTTTGATTCGCCTACCATTTTGAGTCTTTCCTCGGTCGATGGCAAGTATGACATACTTTAAATGTAAAGTGCTCATAAGCCATTTCTCACTGCACCTGTCTGAGGGGGCCAGGTTCTGGCTCGTGATCCCCCGGTAAGCATATGAATTCTGTGACTGATTACGCAAACTAATATAGCGCTATATCAATTCAAATAGCTTCACGGAGCCTTTGGGCTTGCCCAGACACTGCCGTTTCATTACATTCAATGCTGTTTTTTTTATTTATATGCCTACTTTATTAATACAATTTTTATCTTCAAAGGAGTCTCAGATGAGTGTGTTGACAAAATAATAATAATTGTGATTTTGAAGAAACATTCTTAGCAATATTAGGTTAACTTTTGCCAATATATTAGTATGTTATGCAATATTCAGTTTTACATAATACATTTCAAGATAACATTACTTATTTTTTAATAAATACATTTAATACTACTAATTGGATTATTTTGTTATGCAGTGCCTCGGGTGTGAGTAGTGAACAACTAAACTTACCTGACACGATTACTGAATGGGTGGGAAAAGCTGTGTGTGTCCACCCAGAAAAAGGTCTTGGTGTCTCCAAGCCGGCCTCCATCACCACCTTCACACTATTTTTCATCGACCTCACTCTCCCACCGACTGTCAAACGTGGTGAGATTCTCCCGGTGAAGATATCCATCTTTAACTACCATGAAGCGGCTTTACCGGTATGTTTTTGGCTACTCAATGACACACTTTTATAAATGGTAACGCTCACACATACACATGGTTGGGTTGACTGTGTCTAACTGAACCTAAAAAAAAAGGCTTTTTGATAGTCAAACACAAGAGGCTGTTTTGGAAACTGGAACATGCTGGAGGGGTGACAGGGAGACTTCTGAGAAAGATGAAAAATGTTCTGACAGACAGATGAGGGCAGTAATCGGAGACAATGTATCTGACTGGAGGAGTGTTACTAAAGGAGTACCACAGGGTTCAGTTCTTGCACCAGTAATGTTCAGCATCTACATAAACCAGAATTATATGAACATATTTGCTGGTGACGCTAAGCTACTAGGGAAGATAGGAGACCTAGATGATTGTCATGCCCTTCAAATTGATCAAGATTAAAATAAAAGTTTGGAGTCTCATGTGGCAAATGGAATTCAATGTAAATAAAACCAGCATTGAATCTAATTTAGCGCCATTTTCAGGATAGTCCCGTAGGTTCCCTGGAGCTATTGGACTGATATTAGCTAATATTAGTATGGGGCTTCAGTCATATGGAGTTGTCATGCCTACCAGAAAGCACTAGCTTGAACATGGTCCCCTTAGAGACGAAGGAAGCAATGGCCTATGAAACTCACATATATGAAAGTATTCATATCTGCCATCGACAGGGGATGAGTATCCGGAAAGATACACTTCAAAACAGACCCCACCTGCTGGAAATAATGCAACCTGAGACTGAACAGAGTCCCGAAACTCCCCGAACAAGCAAACAAGCAGCACATTGTCACACCGCGCCGCTCGTTCGCCCTGACCGGGAGGGGGGGGGGGTCCCAACCCACGAAGTCGGCAGCCAGTATTATATATTAATATAATATATATTATATTATATTAATATAATATATTATATTAATATAATATATTATATTAAGAACATGAATTATTTACTTATTTGTGTTAGTTTAGTTTAGGTTAAGATTGGTTAGGTTAGGTTAGGTAGGGTTGGTTAGGTTCAGTCATATATCTGTGTTAGTTTTAACTCAAATTTAAACACATTAACTTATTCATAATGAAATGGGCAGATTTATTATTTCATAAGAAAAAAAAAAAATAGAAAAATATATAAATTCAGGAAAACTTAGCTTATTAGGCAAATTGGGCCCTGCATAGTAGGCAGGTACAATGTTCTGGCTCCTAGGTACAACGCATGCACACACACACACACACACACACGCACACGCACACGCACACGCACACACACATACACACATTATATATATATTGTTGTTGTTACCATTTCATATATATATATATATATATATATATATATATATATATATATATATATATATATATAATATTATATAATATGAAATGGTAGCAACAACATACCGGAAACGTCCAAAATCAGAGCACAAATCACCAAGAAAATTGAAGAGGGAAATACCGCAAGTGCTATTAGAGTCCTCACCAGTGACGAGAAAATTGCTCCTCGAAACTTAGCCACAGCACGGGCCCTGCAAAGAAAGCACCCACCCAGAGCCCCTCAAGGCGACAACATCGTTCCGCCATGAGCCGACACCATTTCAGACCCATTAATCGTTGGTGAATCTGAGGTCTACAAAGCAGCCCTTTCTTTTCCACCTGGGTCAGCAGGCGGCTTTACAGGGTTAAAACCTCAACACATCAAGCAAATGTTAAATCCTGCGGTTAGTGATGCTGCACAAGATCATCTTATGAAACGCACAAGGTTCGTCAACATGTGCCTGGCTGGTGATATACCTGAGGTCATCAGACCTCTTTTTTTTTGGTGCCTCCCTCTGTGCTCTCAAAAAGGACGAAGGAATCAGGCCAATTGCTGTTGGCAACACTCTCCGACGCCCGATTGCCAAGGCTGCTTCGAGGGTTGTCAGCCAGCAAGTGGCTGAATTGCTGAAACCAATCCAGCTAGGATTTGGATTCCCCCAAGGCTGTGAAGCGGCTGCCCATGCAGCACGAGCATACATCACCAACATTTCTGATGAAAAGGCCCTGCTCAAACTGGACTTTAAGAATGCCTTCAACATGGTCAGAAGAGATGTTGTACTTTGTGCCGTACATCGCCATTTCCGGCCCCTCTACCCGTTCGTACTATCGTGCTACAGTGGTGAGTCAAAACTGCTCTTTGGTGAACATGAAATCAGATCATGTGAAGGTGTTCAGCAAGGTGATCCTCTTGCTCCCCTTCTTTTCTGCTTAGTCTTAAAAGAAATCACCGAAAGCTTGTCCAGCGAGTTCAACATCTGGTTTTTGGATGATGGCACTATAGCTGGCACCGTAGACCATCTCTTGGCAGATATCAGGAAAATAAGGGAGCAAGAAGTAAGCCTGGGTCTTGTCCTGAACCCTTCCAAGTGTGAAGTAGTCTCTTCCAACCCAGACATCGTAGCTAGAATAAGGTCTGCCTTGCCTGGAGCCCATGTCATTAGGGCCGAGAACAGCACCCTCCTTGGAGCTCCCCTCGGGTCTAACGCCATTGAGAAGATCCTTGACAAGAAAATCGCAGACCTTAGGAGGATGGAAGACAGAATAGGTAACATCGATGCCCACGATGCTTTTTATCTCCTCACCAAATGCCTATCCCTTCTGAGGCTAACCTACTTTCTGAGGTGCGCCCCATCTTACGACAGCCGAAAGCTTGAAGAGTATGACCTCTTACTGAAGACCATGCTGGAAAAAGTTGTTAACCTTTCCCTCAACGAATGCCAGTGGAAACAAGCCACTCTTCCTGTTAGGCTCGGTGGCTTGGGTGTCCGCACCGCCACCCAAATTGCTGTCCCAGCCTTCCTGTCTTCCTCTTCAGCATCAGATGACCTGGTTAAGGAAATTCTACCTGACACCCTGAGTGATGTAGCGGGGATACAGGACTCCCACTACACGGAATGCGACATGAAATGGGGTGCCATGGCAGACCCAGCACTCAGACCAGCCATGCCGAAAGCCAAGAAACAATCCAGTTGGGACAGCCCCATTGTAGACAAAGAAGCTACAGCTTTGCTGGAGGCAGCAACAACCCCCAGTGATCGTGCACGCCTCACAGCTGTGCAGGCTCCCCATGCAGGGCACTTCATTTTGGCAGCCCCTATGTCTGTGACGGGCACACGTCTTGATTCGCAGGAGCTCCGTATTGCAGTCGCTCTCCATCTTGCTGCCCCTATCCACACTGTTCATAGGTGTATTTGCGGCGAGGCAGATGCTGACGAATATGGATTGCATGGCCTGCACTGTGGAAAATCTGGTGGTTGGCACACTAGACACGACGAAGTCAATGACATCATTAAAAGAAGCCTTGTCTCTGCTCAGTGTCCAGCGGAGAGAGCCCCGCAACCTACTGAACCGTGACTGTTAGCTTTGCCGGCCGACCAGACGGAATCACACTGCGTCCGTGGAAGGGTGGCAGACAGTTGGCATGGGACTATTCTTGCGTATCCACCCTGGCAACCACATACATCAACCTCTCTGCCGGCACAGCAAGAGCCGCGGCAACACGCAGAGAAAGACAAGTCAGCCAAGTACAGGCAATTAGATCATCGGTACAACTTCGTTCCAATAGGGTCTGAGACCCTTTGCCCATGGGGAGAGAGTGCAAGAAGGTTTCTTAAGGATCTTGGTTCCAAGCTCATTGACACAACAAGAGACCCTAGAGCAGCAAGATTTATCTTTCAGCGCCTAAGTGTCGCGATCCAGAGGGGGAATGCTCGCTGCATCCTCGGTTCCTGCCCAGCGTCGGAGGAGTTCGAGGAAATCTATAGCCTCTAGAAAGCAAATTTTTTTTTGTGTCCTCTTAATGTTAATTTTAACATTTTCCTCTTAATGTTCCTTTGTGTCTTTCTCTCCCCCCTCTCTCTCTCTCTCTCTCACTTTCTAAGAGTCAAACTGCTAAATGTCAAATTGGCTAAGCATTTTCTCCTGACAACTTCCTTTTACATCCTCCTGCAGGTTAAGGTGAAGCTTGAAGAGAGCAGTGAATATGTGATTCTAGAGGAGCCTGAGAGCCAGAAGGATGCAAGTCATCACAGTTCCTGCATCCCTCCACAAGAGAAGGCTGTTCACACTATAAAGATTCGTTCATTAGTACTTGGGGAAGTTAACCTTACAGTTACTGCTTTTGTTGACGAACTGTACCCAGAGGTGTGTGGTTCCGAGTACATCATAAGTCAGAGGTGAGCATTCTGAATTAACCAGTTACCAGTCTCTTTGGTGTAGTGGTAAGACACACGCCTGGCGTTCCGCGAGCGCTTTGTCATGGGTTCGTATCCTGGCCAGGGAGGATTTACTGGGCGCAAATCCTTAACTGTAGCCACTGTTTAACTCAACAGTAAAATGGGTACTTGGTTGTAACAATGATTCTTTGTGGGGATCGTATTCTAGGGACCTGCCCGAAACGCTACGCGTACTAGTGGCTGTACAAGAATGTAACAACTCTTGTATATATCTAAAAAAAAAAAAAAAAAAAAAAAAAACTCGTTCACTTTTTCTTTACAAAATACAAAAGTTTAAAATTGTATATACATTTCTGTAATTGTAATAATTGCATGGCTTGAGTTCAAGCTTATTGTACCCACTTGCTTACCATTAATTGAGTGGTGTGATATTTTTCTAACCACAATGAATTGTTGGTCAAATTTTAATTTCATAAGTAAGAATTCTGACACTACTACTTTCCTTTCAATGCCTTTCACTAATTTGGGTGTTTAGTTGAATTTCATGTCACTTCGTACCGACCGTATCCTGTACTGTCCCATTTTCCTTGTTCCATTCCCTTCCAACATTGCTTTGTTTTCCCTGTCGATGCCCTGTGCATCTTAACCTGTCCACTGTGGAAATCATACATGTTCGGGCCTTGGGCCCCGTTGGAACCCGCTTGGGTTTTTGTACCCTCTGAGCAAGGTTGGTTGTTACAGGGAGTGGGTTTTCTGTCTCTCTCTCCTCGTATGAGTTGGATTTGGTGTCGATCCCTCCCCGGGTTCGGTTCTGTGCTCTCTTGTATTCTTTGGTCCCGTCCTTCTGAAGGTTTTTGGCCTCCTGCAACCCGCCTCATATAGTGCAGGCCATTGCAGCTTACCCCCTGTGCGACCTGGATTATGCATCCATAAATGGATCCTTCTTCCTTTTTGTTTGGATCTTCTTTTCCTTACTGGGTTCATTATGAGGTTCTGGAGTCGTCCTTGCTTGCAGACTGCCCCTATTTCTCGTTGAGGGCATGGCATACGTTCTGTCAATTTCACACGCTCGAGTGGCACGAGACTCATACGTTTGTCCAGGTTTTCCTAGGGGGGCGAATTTAAGCACCTCAATGCGTGCTTGTTCGCCCCTGTCCTTCCTCGGGATGTCGGCATTGTGCAGCTTCACTTGCAGGTTCCCACCCTCTCGGATGCCCTGGTCGCTGAGTACTTACGAGCTGTCCTAGGCCTGGCTTGAGGAGGACGTGGTGTCGCTTGGGGCCAATCCTGGGTCTAGGGCATTGGTCTCTGCAAGTATGTGCGTCGTCTGCTAGTTTCGGAGCCGGTCCAGCCTTCGGAACCGTCTTCATCTGGTCGGCGCGGTGATCGCTCTGTGTGGTGGTCGGGTTCACGTAAATGCCATTGGCCCTTTCGCAGCTTGTCCCATTGACTCCCCCGGCGATGGGGGGAGGTTCGCTTTGTTTGCTCACGCCTGATCTCACGATTTGTGGACCTTTCGGTTCGTTTTGTGCGACCTGCGGTGGTGTTGGGTGGTTGGGGGTACTGGCAAGAACTAATTATATTGTGTTTGGCTAGAATAAAGTAAAGCTGCTTGTAGATTAGCTTTTCAAAATATTTTTGACAAGGTTGGCAGAACTGATATCAGTCTGAAATTGTTGACATCAGTGAAATCGCCACATTTATGGACTGGAGTGACTCGCTTTTTTTTTTTTTTTTTTTTTTTTAAAGAATATCCATAAAGGTTTGGAATTAAAGTGATTTGTTGTAGAGCAATGCAATGGCAGGAGCTAGAAATCTGGAGGCTTTTTTGTAAATTAGAGTTGGTATCTCAGCAAGGGCACTTGACTTTATTTTAAGAGAGGATTATCTCATTAACATGTGGAATCAGCGGGAGTTAGGTACAGTGACTCTGGATAGTTACCTGTAAGATAGTCCTTAACATTAGTTAGGGAGGATGGAATATCATTAGCAAGAGATATGCCAATGGATGAGAAGAACCTATTGCCTTCAATAGCAGTGTCGAAGGCTGAAAGCACACCATCGTCATTGGATAGGAGTATTGTTTTGTTATTCAAAATCTATTTTGATCCTAATATTTGAGAAATAGTGTTCCATGTTTTCTTAATGTTGCCATTAATTTGGTTAAATTATTTTCGTAGTATTATATTTTCTCTTTTTAATTATTTTAGACAGCATTGATATGTAAATCTTTGAAACTTCTTTGGAGACGACTCCTATCCTATACTTCTTCTCATGGTCAAGTTTTTTTTTAATAGATTTAAGTATACCCTTTAAAAGCCGTGGAGTGTTTAACCTTTTAGTTGTGACTTGTTTCGTTAGCATTGGACAGTGGGTGTTATAGAGGCTCAGAGTTTTCTGAAGAAATGTTTGCACTGCTAGGATGATGTTCACTATGTTACCTAATTCAGTCTCCCAGTTGATATTAGCAGCAGCAGCAGCAGCAATAAAGTTGCTTATAGAAGTTTCATTGTGCAGCCTAAAGCTTATCTTCATTATATCTAGAGGTAGTAAATTAATGTTGGTTAGGAAAAATGTGAGGTAATGGTCTGTAGTCCTATCAGTGAATATCCCTGAAGTAATTAGGGAAGTTATGTTAGTCCAGATGTGGTCAAAAGCAGAGGCAGTCGTATCAATGATTCTAGTAGGTTTAGTGATTAAGGGTATGAGGAAGCAGGAATTCATACAGTTGAGGAAACTAGCAGCATGAGAGGTTATTAGTCTCTCAGAGGTTAATATTTAAATCCATTGATATTATTAGTTGGTTTTTGTTAAGTCTGTTAGACTGCCCCCACAGTCAGGACAGCCTCGACACCCTAGACTCTGAAACAGGCAAAGATATACTCTCCACAGGAGTCTCTAGTTCTAATTACTTTTAAGCATGTCAGTTCTTGGTGGTAGTAAAGAGCAGTGCCACCACCTTTCTGAATTGGTAGACAGTTGTGAATTGCTGAGTAGTTTGGTATGTTAAATAGTTGTGTAGTATCCTTATCCTCTTTTAATCACGTTTCAGTAACTATAACAAAGGAGAATTTGTCAACTGTTTGTATTGGAGCGCTAACATCATCAAAGTGTTTACTTAGAGATCTTACATTCAAGTTTATTACATAAACGTTGTGATTATGTATTAATGCATTGTTTACATCATGTGCTGTTTAATACCTGCAATTTTGATCATTAAAGTGATGATTGTCATAGATACTAGACTAATATGTAGCCTTCAATGATTTAAGCTCTACCACTCTTCCAATAACCGTTGGAGTGCCACAGAGCAGTGTCTTGGGACCTCTCCTATTTCTTATGTACATCAATGATCTGCCTAATGTCTCTAACATTCTGAAACCTATATTGTTTGCTGATGATACTACCCTCATCTACTCAGACCCCAACCCCCACACATTAAATAGTGTTACGAATAATGAATTAAAAAAAAGTTCACTTATGGATGTGTACCAACAAACTCTCACTAAACATAAAAAAGACCTACTACATCTTATTTGGAAGCAAATCAACAAATGCAATTCAGCTTCAGATAGACAATGTTAATATCAGTAATGAAAATGATGGAAAGTTTCATGGCATATTCCTAAACAACAGACTTTCAGCACCAACATTCAACACATATCTAAAAGTCTCTCAAACAGTTGGTATACTCTACAAAATAAGATATTATGTACCTAACTCTGCTCTCCTCTCACTGTATTATGCACTAATCTATCCCTATCTTAATTGTGGTATCTGTGCATGGGGTTAAACCACTGCAAACCACCTAAAGTCGATCATCACCCAGCAAAAATCCGCTATTAGAATAATAACAAACTCTGTTTTCAGACAACACTCAGCTCCCTTGTTAAAATCCCTTAACATGCTAAACATAAACTCACTCCACATATTCTCTTGTGTCAATTACATTTACAAAACCCTGTTCTTAAATGCAAACCCTGCTCTGAAACTCTCCCTGGACAGATGTAATAGGACCCATTATCACCACACCAGAAATAAATATCTCTTTGATATCCCCAGAGTCGAGCTTAATCTGCGTAAACACTCTCTGCAAATAAAGGGACCTGGTATATGGAACTCGCTCCCTAATGAATTGAAAAGCTGTCCAACTTTTGCCTCATTCAAAAACAAAACCAAAAAGTACCTAATTTCATCTTCATAGTGTCCTACCTTGTGCTTTAAATGCACTGTATCTAGTGCTACCCAATCCCCCGATATTTATGTACCTAATCCAAACAACTTCACCATTGCTATTTTTCTTATATGTGGTATCGATATGCTGTATTGCGCCTATTAATCTTTGTTAAATTACCAATCAAGCTGTTAATTCAATCAGTGCTACCGATGTGCTTTAATATACCTACTAATCTCTCTCTCATCTCATTTTTTTTCTTGCAATGTACCTGTTATCACTTTATAAATTTTAGTAGAATTCACCTACTGAAAATTATGTTGGATTAAGGACCTGCCCAAAATGCTGCGCGTACTAGTGGCTTTACAAGAATGTTAACACCATGCTATGTATCCTCACAAACTCAATATACCTTCTTGTGTGGTGTGTGTGTGTGTGTGTGTGTGTATGTATGTATGTATGTATATGTGTGTATATATATATATATATATATATATATATATATATATATATATATATATATATATATATATATATATATATAATTAAATTATTTATTTATTTATTATAAGTTTAGTTCTAGGCCTATACTAGTTTGCATAAGTGGGCTGTTTATCGGTTAATAAGAAAAAAACGGCAATTATGAAAAAGATCTAGATATAAAAAATATACAAAATTATACAAAAATGAGGTAGATTGCTTTGAGGTACTCTGGAAGTAATAATTTGCACCAGGAGACACAGGCAAAGCCAGGGGTACAATCGAGCAAGAGAGTATGGAGCGGCTAGGTAACAAAGGAACCTAGGTTACCTCTCCTGCATTTGGTGACGAGGGAGTTAAGATGAGGCATTGATAGGGTTAATCAGGTGAGACAAACCACATTGGGTGAGGAATGTGTTGTTATCCTGAACACATTGTGTTGAGGATATGTGTTACATCTCAACACACATTTTTGCGCTACCGCTCACAGGATGAGTATGGGGTGCACAATAAACTAGCCGACTTCGGAGGCAACAATAAAAAAAATTATCTCAACACATAGCTGTAATTGCAACAATTACAATTACTGTTATTGCAATTGTAATCATCTTGCCTGTAGAAGTTTTCCTCACTTTTATCATATCATCAAACATGTCTCTAACAAAGCACTGATGAATCACACCTCGGTTTTGATTTCCGGATTTGACGTAGGCGGTAGAGGAGTTCCTGTCTTTTTCTGGTCAAGCACACGTTGATGTAAATCCCCTTTTAAGAGGATACAGCAGTCTGGACAATATCAGATTTTAGGGACTGGGTGGTTAGTTTGAGGCGAATTTTTGTGTGGGTTAGTCCTGCTGAATTATTTTTGCCTATTATGTAGGCAGCAATTATGCCTGTTTTGTTGACCTCAACGTGCAGTTGGTCTTTTATGATAGCATGTACAATGTCAATACACTTCTTACCTTCACTTTCCTCTGACATGTCTGAAGATGACATTATAAGAGTCCAGCAACTTTTGCCAGTCTTGTTCATCCTAGAAGATAGAATGTTGGGCGGTTAAAGTATACATACATTCATTTTTGTTGAGCGCTTCCTCTTGTTTTTTGATGGATTCATTGGTTTTCAGATGCGTTTTTTTCCTCACGGAGATCGTTCATGTCATGTTGGAGTTGTTCTTGGTTAGCTTGACAAGCTCTAACAACCTCGTGGAGAAGGGTTATTTCTTGGTGATGTTAATGTAGGTTCGTGCGGTTCACTTGATCCTCAATTTCAAGGGTTTGAATGATCATAATTTGAGCCTCAATGACTAGACACAGCTTTTTGAACCACTGATTATCATTCCAGTTTTGGAAATCTTGTGAGGGACCAGCAGCACGCATGAATTGCGAGAATTGGATTGCTTGCGGGAAATTTGCAGATGATTAAGAGGACACAACCCTCCCTAGCTCAGTGGTGGAGTCGGGGGACAACAGCACTGCCGCCAAAGACCCCAGAGGGCGAAAGACGGTGGCTGCCGGTGTTGTTCAGGATGCGTGCCTTGTTTGGAGATTTGTTGTTCTTTTTTTCCGTGCATAACCTTACTTTTGAGATACATGATTGGTTGAGTATGGTTTGGGAAATATGTTGTAGCTGAAACTTGTCAGGCAGTGCGGAGGCGGGCAGAGAAGGGCAGCAGGCACTAGTATTCACAGCAGGAGAGGATTGATTTGAATTTTGTTTGCAATGGAATGAGTGGATTGTGTTGGTTACTGTCGATGTGTTATGACATTCTTGGACTCCATGTACTTAGCTGCCTGTAGGTGGCGCTCTACATCATCTGGGGGGGGGTAGGTAGGTGCTGTAATACAGCTCATAGTAGAGAGTGCAAGCGAGCGTGGGTCTTAGTGCCGCGGAGGTCCATATGGAGTATGGGGGCATGTAAGTAATTACAGTTCTGTTGTATTGATTTACGTTCAGCAAAATTAATTTGTGGTATATGTGTATTTTATCAAATTATTTCAACGAATTTTGCCATTTGGTCTGAATGTTACATTTTCAGGGTTATTTGAACCTTTACTCCAATACAGTGTTTTATTGCAGAGATGTAATAATAAAGCCCATCAAAGTAGAGGCTGAGGGCTTTCCCCGAGAGAAGACTTGGACCAAATATATTTGTTCAAAGGGTAAGTATTTATTTTTAAATATTGTTTTACTCTGATACTAGTAATTAATTTTGTCCTGTTTGGAGACTACTGAATGTTGGCCTCTATAGACTGCCTGTTATGCAACTACAACAAAAGCAGCGTAGAGTACCTATAGGTTTGAGAACAATACACCGAGTGAAAAACAAGTCTTGACATATAGACATGTTTTAAACTCCATACCAGCAGCCTCTCAGAAGTGTGAATGTTTCACTAAAAAAAAAAAATCGACAGCTAGACATTTATCATTTCCAGTTTTAATATAGAGTACTCTCTTATAAAAATTATTTATCTTTTTGAATCGGTGCTTAGAAATAGTTTCCGAATATCCAGAAAAAAGTGGGCTACTAGATCATATCGTTATTTAATAAAATATTTTTTTATATATTTCCTTTAACACTTTTACGCTTTGGTGACCCCTGAGCGAGTCAACAATTTTTATGTTGAGTAGGGTGGCATGCCGCGCTCACGAGTCGCGAGAAAAAATATTTGTATAAATTCCATTTCCTATCCGATCTACTTGGGGATAGTTTACAAATGTTCACCATGAAATTTGTTTTCTCTAATAGCTGAACAGCTTATTTAGGAGAACGGCGTGGCAGTGAATCATCGTGGTAAAACAATTGTATTATTGATGCGACGAGTATAATCGACGTAGTTTTTATAAATGTTGCCAGTCGAACGCGTCCTTATGTGACCTTTTATACTTATGTTCTTCTAGAACATTCTATTGCGAACACATTGGTACAAAAATGAAATATGTACATCGAAAAATAATGTCAGGACAGTGAATTGAATATACACTTTTCAATGCGGGTTTTGCTGATATGCCGCCGCGGGTAACACTTCCGCCCATACACTCCCATACTGTTTTGGGTGTGCTGCGACATTGATTCTATATTTATATGCATATGTCCGTGTAGAGAATTTTATTGTGATTTCATTGATACCAAAATTAACGCTGTAGCACAACTGTGGGCTTCACAACCATGAAGAGAGTGGAAACATTTTGTTGCTGTTTGGCGCTCTCGGCTAGTGATCTCAATAGTTTTTTATTTGGTGTTGATATGCCTTATGCTTTGGCGGCATTTTATAGGTATGTTCTTATAGACAATTCTATTGCGAACACAGTGATACCAAATTTAAATACGTACGCCTACAATTAGTGTCACGACAGTCAAAAGAGTATACACTTTTCGGTCTTACCGCATAGGCGCTCGAAACGCCGAAAGCACAAGGGGGAAGTTTTTTTTTCAGTATGCCGCAAACGCAAAAGTGCATTAGTTAATAAAATTTAATGAAATAATATACTGTATTCAATTCAAATATTATTATTCTTCTTGTCTGAGTTTATTTTATTGTTGAACCACTAGTGTGCGCAGCTAGGCTAGGGCTGGTGTGGGAGACGCTCACAATAATTATCAACAACGTAAAATGACTAGAGCAATGGCACAAGACTCTGAGGAGATCTTACCAGATATAGGTTGTCTGATTCCTTCCCGGTGATACAGGAAAATCAGAGTTTAGTGGAACCTCGGTCTACCAATTTAATCTGTTCCAAGAGACGGATCGTACACAGAATAAAATTTTCCCATAAAAATTAATATAAATTTAATTAATTCATTCCACACCAAAAATATTAACCTAAAAATACGTTTTAGACAAAATACTAAATTTTCATACATAAAACAATCAGGATTAAATATAAACTGTAAATAAAATAACAGAACATTAAACTTCATTTTCCCTTTACTGAGGACACTTGTTGGCGGTGAGGAGGTAGGGAGGGAGGAGACGAGATGTTAGTGTTTGGAAGGGGCATCCCCTTCCATAATAACATCAACCCACAGTCAAGCATTCATAGTCACAGTCAGTCAAGCATTTACAGTGAAGACCAGTCACAGTAACTCATAACCAAAGGGAGTTCTCAGGGTTTGGTTCTCAGCGCTGAAGTATGTCCAACATTCTGGCAGATGACTTGTCCTGGTGCCTTACTCGTTTCACGGAGTGGACGGTCGACGCTGAGTCTTTCTCGTGGCTTGCCAGATGTACGCCCGCCCGGAGGTGGACATTTTCATGTCGACATAGTCTTTGCGTCACAGTGTATATGGTGCCGTTCCCCAACTGCGAGGCCTTCGTGGTAGGTCCTTTTCAGCAGGACTGATCGAGGTGGGGGTTTGTGTACATCTTTCTCCCAGTCCAGCTGTTACTCTAGGTCCTAGCTCGCTTGGAATCCTGAGTTTTCCCCTGGCTCCATATTGGCCTGCCAGCTGAGTGGACAGCACTCGGGATTCGTAATCCTTGGGATTCGTAATCCTTGGGATTCGTAGTCCTAAGTTTTCGGGTTCAATCCCTGGCAGAAGCGGAAACGAATGAGGTTCTTTCACCCTGATGCACCTGTTCACCTAGCAGTAAATAGGTACCTGGGAGTTACAGCTGCTATGGGCTGCTTCCTGGGGATGTGTTACAAAAAGGAAGCCTGGTCGAGGACCGGGCCGCGGGGACGCTAAGCCCCGAAATCATCTCAAGATAACCTCAAGAGGGTGGCAGGCCCAGCCTTGGTTTCAGGTGCTGCTTGCTTGGTGTTCGAACCCCGGGCGTCTTTTCGTGGCTAATACCAGCAGATCGAGCTAGTGAGGTACCTTGCTGGTTTGCTTTACTGCTCCGCACTTCACATCTGGTCTTTCTGACACGGATGTATCGCCATTGCCATGTTGATCAGGTGGCTTCTTTGCTGGTGACCCACCTGCAGTCTTCCTCCAGGTAACACTATGCAGTCTCTTGGTTGTCTTTCCGTCACTTTCTTTCTCTTCGGGGGTTTTCGTATATTTCGGACCAGGTTGTTTTATCTCTTGGCTTTTTCTGGACTGGCATCTCATGTCGAATACTGTCGCTTCGTATCACGCAGTGTTGGTGAAGCCGCTTCGTATTGCGTTCTGAGTGGATGTTACTTCCACTCTGTTCTGCAAGATTTCACATGCATTTCTGGAAAGACCCCCTTCGGCTCCCTGGAGCTAACCGGGCTGATATGAATGTACTAAATCCTGGCATCGGTCATTGCGCATGAAGTTATAGACCTACCGGGGACCACGAGCCAGAACCTGCCCCCCCCCCCCTAAGAGAGGCACGAGGAGCAATGGCCTACGGAAACCCCCGTGTGATTGGAAGCATTCTATGTCTGCCATCGACTGGGTCAGGCAGCCAGAAAGGAAAGCGCCCCAAAACAAACCATTATTCTGGTTAAACTATTGCTACTGAAAGCCAAACAAGTGGACAGAACTCCCCAAATAAAAATGAGCAAACGAGCATGACATCACCACGTCGCTGTCTGGGCCACCCTCCCCCCAGGGAGGGAGAAGAGCCGCCCCACACCCCTGAGCTGGCTATCTATCCTGCAGTTCTGTGGCTGATGTGAACTGGCAAGGGCGTGCACCTCTGGCTCCTCTGTTTCCCAGTTCTGTGCCATGTGGTGTGGTGCTGTCTTAGCGGTGGTGATGCACGAGACAGGAGTTATTTCGCAAGTACTCAGGCTGCATGTGCGTAAGGTTCCCTTCCCTAGGTGCCCTGTAAGTACTGCCATTGGGGCTTGGGGACACCTTCCACAAGTCACCTTGGGGTCTACCTCTGCAAGGTCGTTTGCCGCTCGGTGATTGACCGCCCTTGGAATCAGCTGGGGTGTTTGGCACTCCTGTAGCCTCTGGGTAGGGGTTAGTTTCGTCACTGGTTGGGGCACAGGGTACTGAGCAGCTAGTTACCACCTCTCATAGTGGCCAGCTCTGTTACGCCTGGGCACGTTGTCCTCTTGCGTTTTTTTTGTTTGTTTCCTGCCTGGTAGGAGGTCTACCCCTTCGTGTTGGTCACACCCAGTTATATCTTGGTGGTTCTCCACTAGGCCCTCGTGAGTATGCACGTCCCGGGGTTCAGCTTTAGCAGATTAATTGGTAACTTGGGCTTTGGTTAGCAGTACCCTGGGCTTCCTTTAATGAAATTACATGACTAGGGGCCCTGGGAAACCCCGCAGGGGCTCTTTAGTCCGATGGATGCGACCCCCTGGGTCCTTTTTCGCTTCGTGCGAGTTTAAAAGTTGCTCTGTCCCCTTGTCTCAGGGTAACACTCGCAGTTTGTGCCTTCATCATACTGCCTGTTTTGTCGGTGATACCGAAGTCTGCGAGTTTTGTTCCTTGTTTGTTCTCCAATTTACCCAGTCCACTGATCATGTTATTCAGGTGCAAGCAGCTTCGGCGTTCCATGCTCGGTTTAGGTTGCTGTAATACGCTAGGTTAGTTGCTATCCCACATGCCTCGAGACTGCCCTGTTTTGGTTAAGGGGACCCCTTACTTGGAGATGTTAGTCGCTTCGAGTTTGGTTCAATCTGTGCCCCCCTTGTCCTTCAACCCATTCTCGCACTTTCTTATAGTCAATATTGACTTATTAAATACGTGCATATGTGACATACTAATTTATTGTGAATATTTTACTTTACCTTGAAAAGCTTCATAGAAAACACCGACCTTACCTAACCTTCTTAGTATGTTAAGATAAGCATCTTATTGCTTCGTAATTACAATTATTACTTAACCTATACCTATAATTGGTTAAGTAATAATTGTAATTATAAAGCCATAAGATGCTTATCTTAACATACTAAGAAGGTTAGGTAAGGTTGGTGTTTTCTATGAAGCTTTTCAAGGTAAACTAAAATATTCACAATAAATTAGTATGTCACATATGCACTTATTAAATAAGTCAATATTGACTAAAAGAAAGTGCGAGAATGGGTTGTGTCCTTCCCCTTCTGTTATTCATCCTAGTCCTCCCCCCTTCCCTGCTTCCGGCTTCTAAGCATCTCAGGGTTTAGCTGGTGTTGAGACTCTGGCAGTTTCGGGAAATGCCCCTTCCGGTGTGGTGACGGAGGCATTCGAGCATGTTTCTCCAGCCAGAGCTTCTGGGTCTAATCAGTGGGCCCCTTTCGTTCCTGCTTTTATCGGCTGCTCCTGCCTTTTCTTTTGAGGCAGGAGATTTGGAGGATGACCTGGCCCCAGGTCCTCGTGGGAAGGTTCCCGGGGT